CACTTCCCGGTCTTCGGGTTCCCCGTCCTCCCTGTGTAACTCCGCTACCACTTCTGGGACCTTTTGTCATCGATGGCCTACTTATAGATCCCGTTCCAGTTCCAGGACCTCTTGTGCCTCTAACAGTACCGCCCTTTCCTATTCCCGACGAACTTCCTGTTTTCACCCCATTATTAGTCGATCCCTTTATTCCACCACTAATTCCTGAACCAGTTTTCACGGAACCTTTACCGCCCTTTCCCGTCGAGATACCGGTCTTAACTCCGTTCACACCGTTACCAATGGAGCCCATACCACTACTTCCTGAACCGCCATTCCCTTTTCCGGCTCCTATACCGCTTGCAATTCCGGTTTTCACTCCATTAATGCCGTTATTTATCGATCCTTTAGTGCCACCACTACTGCCGGATCCAGTCTTTATTGAGCCACCATTTCCTCCATTACTTCGCCCACTCTTTCCATTTCCCGATGAGATTCCTGTTTTAATTCCATTATTTACTGACCCTTTACTACCAGAGCCGCCCTTCACTGAACCGCCCGATCCTTTAATTCCAGACCCAATGCCAGACGATATTCCTGTCTTAACTCCATTGACACCATTACTAATGGAGCCTTTAATGCCACCACTACTTCCAGTGGATCCAGTTTTAACTGAGCCTCCATTCCCTTTACCACTATTTCCAATGCCAGACGATATTCCTGTTTTAACTCCATTGACACCTGATTTGACGCCATTTTTAATACTGTTTACGCCGGATGTCAGTCCACCACCGGAACTGCTCTTAGTATTGGATGTCTTAGTGATGCCACCACTCCTATTGCCTCCTTTACCACTACCAGCTCCACTTCCAATGGATCCGCTGTTTGAACCACTTTTCACTGAACCCACACTTCCTTTGCTTCCTGACCCACCTCTGGATGTGATTCCAGATTTGATTCCATTAGATATGGACTGAGACGAACCTCCGGTGCCTCCTCTACCACTCAATCCACTCCCACTGTTCTTAGTGTTAAATGTTTTAGTGGAACCGCTTCTTGTGCCACCTTTACTGCCCGACCCACTCATGCCCGACGATATACCACTCTTCACTCCATTGATCCCATTACTGATCGACCCCTTTATGCTTCCACTGCTCCCGGAACTGCTTTTACCTGACCCGCCCATCCCTTTGCCAATACCACCACCACTACTACTACTACCACTGCCTCCCATTCCGTTTTTGATGGAGATTCCAGTTTTAATGCTATTAGTGTTGGAACCCTTAGTAGAGCCACCTTTGCTACCACTGGCTATGGAACCGGACGATCCTCTACCAGTGGATCCACTTTTAGATGTCAGTCCACTCTTTACACTGTTTGATGTCTTAGTCGCTCCACCATTTCTTGCTGATCCTGTTTTCACACCGGATCCTTTGCCACCACTAATAGATCCACCACTTCCTCCTCGGCTACTACTTCCCAGAGATTTTGGAATACTTGAACTGCTGGCGGATTGTTTGCCTCCCGAACCACTTTTTACCGGCGATCCTCTGCTACCACTTCCAGATTTTGTGCCACCATTACTACGGCTTCCACTTCTAATAGATCCACCACTTGCTCCATGACTACTACTGCCCAGTGGTTTGGCAATACTAGATCCAACACTTCCAGATTGTCTGGTTGAGCTCATTTTATTACCTGAAATACTAGAGCCTTTCCCACCACTATTGCTTTGAGTGCTCCCTCGGCTACTACTTCCCAGAGGTTGTCCAATACCACCACCAGATTGTTTGCCAGTTCTTACTCCGGATCCTTTGCTTCCACCTTTACTTCTTGAGCTGCCATTACTACTACTGCCACCACTAATAGATCCACTACTACCTCCTCGGCTGCTACTTCCCAGAGATTTTCCGGTTCCCGATTGTCGACCAGAACTTCCATTTTTAACACTCGAGCCCTTACTCCCACTTCTAGAACTGCTTCCAAGAGGTTTCCCAATACTAGAACCACTTCCTGATTGTTTACTTGATCCACCTCTTGATGAGCCGCTAATTTGATCACTCTTTGATCCACCACTACCTGAACGACTACTACTTCCCCGAGACTTTCCCATCCTATTTCCACTTTGTCCACCAGTGCTCCCAAATTTAGCGCTCGACCCACTACTTGAACCTCTACTGCCACCACTTTTGGAACCGCTTCCGAGGGCTTTCCCGGCACCGGAACTACTCGCAGACTGTTTGCCAGATCCACCACTTCTTGTACCGCTTCTACTAGCACTGCCACCGTTAATACGAGCGCCACCACCAATGGAACCACCACTTTGACTACTACTTCCCAGTGATTTTCCGACACTACTACCAGATTGTCGACCACTTCTCGATGCAGAACTCTGACTTCCACCACCACTTCTGGTACCACCACTCTTAGAGCTGCTTCCAAGTGGTCGCCCAACACTACCACCACTGCTTCCACTTTTCTTACCGGTGCCCCCACTTCTACTGCTGGATCCCAAATGGCTTCCACTGCCTCCCCTGCTCTGAGAACTGCCTCCGACCGCACCACTTCCTCCTCGAGATTTCCCACTACTTAATCCTCTGCTGCCACCACCCCCTCCACTCCCTCCACCACTACGACTACCGCTACCACTACTCGAACGACTCATACTTGATTTGGCACCACTCGACCCGCCACCCCGCGCACCACCTGTGCCGCCACGACTACCACCGCCGCTACTTCGACTCGATCCACCACTACGTGCTGCCCCTCCACCACCTCCTCCGCCGCCACCATTTTTATTAGAACTCGCACTTCCTCCTGAGGGAACGCCATTTATTTATAATTAACAAAATGTGTCTCTCATTTCAATTAATTGCATATCAATTTGCATAGAGTAGTAATCAATTAATTTTGCATTATTTTATAAAAGCTTATTGAGTTTAAAAGAGTTTTGTAAGTGAAAAGGTTTTGATAGTTTAAATAAAAAATGTTTAAATCCAAACTATAATATAACAAATAAATTTGTGAATGTCAAGGTTATAAAATAAAATACTTTTTTCTCAGATTAAAATTAACTAGTGCTATACAAAACTTACTAATGGTATATTAATACAATACTGTATTAGACTATATCTGCATTACTAGAGTAAAATAGTTTAGATAATTTATAAAATAATTAATGGACACGCACCTTTTGCATAACTGTCCACAATCAGAGATATTAAAAGTACTAATAATGTGATCGAAATCAATGGAAAACATTTCATAATATGTTTGCATTAAATATAAACAATTATAACTAAGTATTTAAACAATATAATATAAACTTGAACTTAAGATTCACAATAACTTTAGGCTATTAATGAGTAATGAAATGTGCTTTCAATACATTCCTCAATGAACTGTTTAGTTAAACATCAAACTGATTGCAAAATCTGAAAACATTTTATCAATCTGTTATCAAATATCTTTTATTATCAAATGATCGGTAATTAACATAATGTTTATTCAGTGTCAATTTATTGATAAGTGCATTATATGAATATACCGTAATGATATTGTACAATATCAAAGGGGGTTTAGATACTGTAATACTTTAGAAGTTTTATATTGATGCGATTAATAAAATTATACTGTGATTGATTTTTGTATTAATATATTAATTTAAATTAACTGAACTTTATTTAATTATGTATATTTTTAAAATTTATTTAAAAAAATTAGAAGTGTATTATAAACTTAAATTCTGGTCCAATCGCACTGTAAAAAACTTAATGTAATTCAGGCTTGTGTAAACCGCAATACAGGTGCTCAAACATGTACAATACAGTAACTTATAGTAAAGTATCAATCAATTCATATAAACCAAACACAGAATTATATATTATATTATTATGTAAGTTACATACAAAATTAAATAACACTATGATTACTGTATAAATTCAAGTGTTACAGTATACATTCAATGACTTGTTTGAATGTTCAAAAATGTACGGGTTTAGACTTTAAGTTGAATTTGTACTTTTATAAATTTATGCCTTTTGTTAACTATATTGAGATTTGTTTACCCAAAGTACAAATATTTAACAATTACAGAGTTGTTATATAAAACTTTAATTAATACAAATAGTGCATATTTAAATGAACTCATATCCCTCACAAATGAATGAATCAGTTTATTCAAATCTCACAAGAGTTGCGCAAAACATTTATCATTATTAAAGTATTTTGAATATTAATTGAGATTTTGTTTAATATTAAAAACTACTTTCAGGTGTGTAAATATTAGATAAATTTTTATATTTGTATATTATAATTATTATATAATTGACCAAAATGTTTTTACATTTATTTGTCATATTAACAAATATTTTCTCTTAATTGTTATTTTGTTATGATATTTAAAAGCATTCAATCAGTTTGTGTAGACCATTATCCGTTTAAACCTATGATCAGCCATATGTAGTACAAACTTTGTACCCATTTACATATACTGTAATTTTATTATAATTTCTAAATATTTTTATATATTAAATTAAATACTAATTTTTGTAAATAAAGTTATAATCAAATATTTTAAAATAAACTTATTCAGGTAATTATATCATAAATAACAAAATAATTCATTTTATTAACGTATATTAATATTTAACCATAATTAAACTATTCAAGGAGTAAATTTTTAAAAACATATAAAATGAAATTAAAACTCATTTAAACTAAAATTTTAATTTTATTTGACGACAAAAGACTACATTAAAATTTTGTAAAAATACAAAGGTTTAGTTGTAATTCTAAATGATTAGATCTACTTTTAAATTAATACTAAGTGATAATATTAAAATTACGTTAAATATATAAATGTAAAAACGATTACTACAGACATTACTTAAAGAAGTTATACATTATACAACGAATATATAAATTGAGATAAAATTATTAGTGATTATCCAATAAAACTGTACTATATAATAGTAATAATTAAGACAAAATTATCATTTAATTGAAAAACATTAATGTTTTGTGTATAAAATATATTAATTGAAAGAAATTATGTTTTAAGGGATACATGGAATAAACAATTGAATTATAGTTTAATTTATATTTGAATCTCAAATAACTCTGCAAATCGTGTGAATAATAGTACGAAATGTTGTATTTATTGTGGATTTTAATCTTTGAATGTCTGATACGAGAAGAAGACAATGATGTATATGACGAACAAGAATGGGAAGAGTATGGCTGACAGGTAGTCGATTTGGGAGGCCAGGGATGACTGTCTCCACTTCTGAACATAGTTGCGACGGTTGACAACTTCGTTGACGGTGTACTCCTTGGCCTCCTCTCCCTTCTCGCCCTTCTCCTGGCCCTCATCTACCAGTGGTTTCTGTTCAATGATAAACAGGAATTCAGTTCATTAGTCGTTAATTAATTTGTTTTTCATTTCAATTCATTTTAAATTATTGATTATATTTCTCATTTTTAATTTATGCATATATTTTGTAGATTAGTATTTGCTAAAGTGCTCGGGAACTTATTCATACACATTTAATTGCTGAAATTATGAATAAATTTGTTATAAAAAGTGATAACAATTTTGTTGGGTAAGTATATATTAATAATATGTGGGCTTTAATTAGTTTTATATCTATCATTAGATTTCAATTTATAATTATTTATTGAATATTTATCATGCATTTAATTAATTCCCAATAATTTTATGATTTTGGATAAGAATTACTGTATATTTAACGCTAGATTCACAGAAAAAACACACATTTTTCTAATTTCTATTTCTCTATGGGGTTGTAAAAAGTGCATAAAATTTTTAATGAATAATTTTATTGACAGAAATATTGAAGAATTGAATAAATAATAAAAATTCATTTTCCAATTAATTATTTAATGAGAAAATTTTCGATCTTTCGTAATAAACAAGTTTCCCAATAATTTTTTAATACCAATGACTAATCGGTCCTTAAGAATATTTTTTTGTCTAAAACTTTTGCATTAAAGGTCGGTTCACATTAAAAGGCAGTATCAGTAAAAAAAATTCAAAGTAAATAAATATTACTTATATTTAGTCTGTATTAAAAGTAACTTTCTAATAGGAAAAGATGCAAAATATTATTTTGTTTTTATTTTTGTCGTAAACTATAGGCGCAGTAAATCCGTACACAAACACACAAATCGACAAATATTTTCTTAATTCTTAAGTTTAAGAGATAGGGAATGACTTAAACGTATCGCAACATCACGTTTGACAGACGTCTGTCTCACTAACTGTCTGTCTGTCTGTCAAAGGAGTGGATAATAAGCAGATATTCCTATAGAAGTTCCTATATATCTTATGTAGTTTAAGTGCATTCGTAGACATAACTAATAAATATAAGAAATATTTTGAGTTAAAGGAAAATTCCTGTCTTTCATTAGGTCTGTGTCTCTATCATAGAGTAAACAATGACTCGAGAATTCTTGAAAACACACATCAATTGTATTCAGTGAACAAAATTCACTCAAATATACGATACTTTAATGATAGACACAGTCATTGTCAGTGTGCAGACTATTTAACAAAAATAGGTATAATTATTTCAATAAGCCAAAAGTTGCCCCGCTCTCCCTTATGCAGGATAAAGATATATGTATACAGTATGAGGACGACATACCAGTGCGACGGCATCGCCCTCCTCGCAGTTGTTGACAGTTTTGCCGTTTTTGCATTCACTGGAGTCGAGGCATGATTTGGCGGAGTGTTTGGTGTACTTGTGGACCAATCGGACGATACCGTACTCGAGGAAAGCGGCCAAAACGAAGAGCAGACACGTGGAGGTCCAGCAGTCCTTAGCCGTGTGGTAGCTGACAGTGGACGAGGACTTGGCGTTTATGTAGAGGACGTGTAAGTATAGCAGCAGAAGTGTGACCACCAATAGGCGAATCCGCGAACACTTATCGGGTTTCAACCAAAACGACACAAACGCTATGAATGTGAGGACAGCCGTCGGCAAAAACCATTGGCACCCATACTTAGAGGAGTGTCGACTGAACTGGAACTCCGCTTTTATGCACGAGTATTCCCCTGAAATGGTCCAAATGTTTATTAGTTTGCAGGATCTCTAATATTTATGAGAAAATATTGTATGATTTTTAGCATACATTATATGCCAAATGTGGTCAAAAGGACTAATTGACTCAGATTAGTAATTGAGTGTCAAATGCTTTAAATTTAAATTTAGTTAGTTTTTATAATGTGTTGTTTTAATAATATTTTTTATGCAAATATTGGTAGTATTAGAAAATTGTTATAATTTTGGGCATTAAATGCGATGATATTATCATAATTGATGGGCGATTGCAATGAATGCATACCTGTGTTGGTCTTTGAGGTGCAATAATTGGTTTGATAGCTATCGAGTGAGAACTCATGGAGGGCCAGTTGTCTGGTCACCTGAACCGGGTCCTCCTCTTTCCACTCAAACACCAGATCCTCGGTCGTGAACCCATCTATCAATATATAAAATAATTTAATGTTTTCTATTTAATTTATATTTTAGTTTACATAAGTCTTTTTTAAATTAATTTTGTGTAAAATATTTTATCTTAAAAGTGAATGCATTACAGTATAGTTTATAAATATTTATGAGCTGATATATTGTGTTTGTAATTTTGAAGCAAAATGTGTTTTCCTAGAGTCAACACATTTATTAAATCGATGGCTAGATATTGAAATATAAGTAAATATTTATAAGCAACTTGAATATTATTTAATGTTATTTACAGTATATTTATATTAATGTAAATTTCAAAATATTATACATGTATGTCTGTCATTTATCAAGGTTGTGGTGTTTTCTATATTTTATGTGTGATATTAATAATATTACTATTCATCATAATATTCCTCAATTGTTATTCAATTTTTCATATAATAATTCAATGCAATTATAACTACTTATTTCACCATAAAATTGGCATAAAAATAAACTACCAACAAACATAAGATATTCTAATATAATATTTTAAAATATATTTTATCTAATCAGTCACTCGTTGACACCATAACCCACACAATAGGCTATATATTTTTACCAGTATATTATACTGTATAATAGCTAAAAAACTAAATTGAATTTTTATGAAAAGGTATTTGAAACGGAAAGATATTTTTTGAAACTTTAAATTTTGATGTTTTTAATAAAAAAATATTGAAAAATGAAATTACTTTATCTAAACTCAGTGGTAGATATAAAACTAGAATTGTATTATAATTAAAGTGTAATATTGTGTTGAATGGCTGTAAAGGACATTGAAATAATGAATGAGATAAAAGGGAGGACTCACAACTGGCCATTTGTATGGCACAGGTCTGTGTGTCGAATGGATAGTGTTTGAGATCCATAGGACAGGCGAGTGTCTCGACGAGTCGTATGGAAAACAATACGTTTCCGTTGGGATATATGCGGATCAATGTGTTTGGCTTAATGTCTGCCTGGGCTTCGCTTTCGCGGGCATTCGAGAAGAAGGTGTCGGGAATCCAGATGTCCTCCTTGTCCTCGAGGGACAAGTACTTGATTTTGCCGACCCTGTCGTCGTATTTGAGCCGTTGGTCGTTCCACTTCTGGCGGAAAGTGATCTGAACTTTCCATTCATTCTTCTTTGTGCAGATGTACTCAATGGATCGGATGTATATATTCGTGTTCACCACTACCGGCCCCTGTGTCCCATTCGCGTCCACTCCTACCGGTACTATACGGGTGTCGTATTTGTTTTTGTCCAAAAGTTGGTCCAGAATCTGCTTCTCCTGGTCCTTGATTTGTAGTCGCGATTGACTATTGGGTTCAAAACAGATAACAATTTGTTTAGAAATAATTTGAGACATTTTATCAGTTTATTATCTATATTTGTGTTTTTAAGTTATCATGGATTATCAATCATATAAACAATTATGTAATGCATAAATATTTTTCAATTTTATTATCATGTTGTCCATAACTAGGTATTATTCAACAGATAATTAATATTTTTCAAGAAATTTATTTTGTTATAATATAAAAGTGTATTTAAAAAATAGAGTACAAGAATTTAAACACAAATAACAAAAACGCTGTATTTTTCTTATTGTGTTTTTAATTGAATTTATTTATCATTTATTACCATAACTTTTATAAATAGATTTCATTCGTTTTCTTTTTTATAAAACCTTTTTTTTGATAAAATGTCTTTAAAAATATAATAAATTATCTTTTAAAGCATTTTGAATATAAGAAAGATAGAGTAAAATGGTATCGAATTATAAGAACCATATCTTTTAATAGGATAATTCAATTATAGCTTATATTAATATAGTGTACAAAATATAATACACTGTGTGTTGTTATAAACATTTAGGTCAAGTTTAATGTTAACTAAATTATATGATTGTAAATGAAATGATGACTAAAATAAGAAAAACATATAATGTGCTTAAGAACTGGATTATATATTTAAACGATAACTATAACGTATAATAGTGGCGATAAATATTTATAAAATACTATTTTTGCTTCATATTTAGCGGCAAATAATAAGTATTGATTTTAAGGGGCGATAATGTCTTTAATTAAAAGACAAAATTAATGATTAATATTTATTTTGTTGCTTTGTTTTATCTAAATATTCATATAAGCCTATTGTTCAATGTCTCAGAGGGGGTATTACTTGAGAAAGGGGGAGGGGGTCAAATAGAGTGTTGGTTAGCTATGATGCTAATTTATTAGGGATCGGGCATTGATGACTGAGTACTTGTTTTCAGTGTTCATATATTCAAATGACATTTAAATATAAATCTAAGCGCTAGATATTAGATATGAATATTTATTTTTAATGGCATTTTTATTTGTCTTTTTCGTGAAATGTTGAGTTCATTCACTGTTAAGTTTATGATAAGTTTTTCATTTATTTTTTCCATTCTATGGGCCCTTATATTTAAATTCAAATGTGATTCATAAGCAAAATATTCCACAGTATATGTGCTGTGAATATGTGTGTGACTTGTTTTATGTGTGCATTTTTTCACACGAATTAATAGCTTTTATTTATAATTATTATTAGTATAGAGAGAAAACCTATGATTAGAGTGAGCTTTAGATAAGAAATCGTTTTTTCTTATTCTTGACGTCCAATAAAAAATATGAACTGTCTTTCCTTTAATGAATAATAAATGTTTAATTTGAGTCGTAAACCCCTGTCCTTTAATTTATAAGTAAACCACTCGTATTCTGTTTGTTACAAATGGTTATTATTCAAATTAAATTTTAATTAAATTTTAATTAAATTTATTCGCTTTTGGAAAATATATTCCTAAAATTGCATAATATAATTTGACCTATTATAAAAACTTATTTTTATAAACATATTTACGAATATTATAGTCATTGTATTTATTAAAATTTGTTTCAATTTTTAGAAACCTTATTGTGAGGCAATCGAGAGAACTTAGACTACAATAGAGTAACTATTTATGAAAATAAATGCAGTATTGTATTAGAAAGAAATTGCCAATAGCATTAAAAAGTAATTTTGAATACAATTTTATGATATTTTCGTATATAGCTATCGATTAATAAATAAATAAAACTAAAATAAATTCGTAATTGAAATGATTTAACATACTTTCTATGTATTTGTTTGTGTTTAATACGAGTTTCCTTAAGAATATAATCCAATTTATAGATTTTGAATTATTATAATGTGTTCAAAAAGTATATTCAAAATTGAATGGCTATTAACTGAATGGCTATTGAATCGTAATGTGAATTATCATATAATGATTGCGTGACTTTCGTATATTGTGTTTATATGACTAATAATAAGCGAATATATCGTACACTCAAAACAATATGATATCAAATTCACGACTTTTACATATTCTTCAATATCAAACAAGTTTATTTTTATACATTTAAATGACTTTGCATTGTGTGAATATTATAATTGTGTTTAGTTTCTTAAAAAATTAATTTTTATACTTAATAAACATACTATACAGTAAAGTGGCTCAACAACAACCTAAAACTAAGAAAAATGTTTTTTTACAAATAGAATATAAATAAATAAAAGTTTAATCTCAAAAAAATAAAATAAAATAATTATATTAGAAATAAATCAATTTGCAAAACATGTGTCAAATTATTAGCATAAAAGCTTAGGAATAGACTACTTCTTCACTCCTCCCGAAAAAATATTTTTCCAAAATTCAATGTCAAATCAATTAAATGTAATTTTTTGTGTTTCGGGTGTAATAAACCCCATAATAATTTATATAACGATTCTTAAGAATATACCCCTTATATGCCATCAATTATTATTATATACAGTCCTACCATTCAATTCACTTTTTTAATTACATTTTTCAATACTTGACTCAAAGATTTATATGTAATAATAATTCATTAATATGTTACGTAACCTATGTCTTGACTCACAGTATTATCTTATGTAACAAAAAGGAGAGTATATTATTAAGTGAGAGGTACAGTAGATATTAGGTATATGAAGTCATGTATTAAATTACAGGCATACTGTAGTCGTATACTGTATATAGTCTACCGGTCTGTTAAAAAACTGAGTCAAATAGAGTTAAAGCGTTTTTACGTGAAAACTCTTTTTACTTTTTTTCTCACTCGTCTTTGTTATTAAAGTTAATGTGTTTAATACCCTATGTTTTATTAGTTAATGGTTTTCTGTTTTTGTACTTTTCTTAGCTATTTTGCCTTATTTTCTAAAAGGAATTTATTGTTATTAATATACAAACATACCCTATGTTTTATTAGTTAATGGTTTTCTGTTTTTGTACTTTTCTTAGCTATTTTGCCTTATTTTCTAAAAGGAATTTATTGTTATTAATAAGTACATTTTCAAATATAATTTAAATGAAATCAGAATCTGATAAATTTTAGGTGGAATTTTGATATTAATGTTATTAAAATATTATTAATTAGACATAATTTATTAAGTATTTATTACACACATTTAGATTGATTATCTTTAACGAACCTCTACTGGAAAACAAAAAGTACTGAAAATGAAATCAAATACTAAAGAATCAAATTAGATGCAGTATTAAATACCTTATAGAAAAATAGTTTGCAAAAGTTAATAATTATACAAAATATATTAATTATTATTTATTAAAATTTCAGTATCTAATATACAAACATACCCTATGTTTTATTAGTTAATGGTTTTCTGTTTTTGTACTTTTCTTAGCTATTTTGCCTTATTTTCTAAAAGGAATTTATTGTTATTAATAAGTACATTTTCAAATATAATTTAATGCAGTATTAAATACCTTATAGAAAAATAGTTTGCAAAAGTTAATAATTATACAAAATATATTAATTATTATTTATTAAAATTTCAGTATCTAATATACAAACACAATTCACTGATTTGAAATACTTTTTGGTCAAATTATTTTTATAATTATTTTAAATTGTGGAGAGAAAGTTTAATTTTTATTTAAACAAATATTTAAACAACAAAATTAGTTTCTATAAATTATAATTATAAGATATTTTAAACTACAATTAATATTAATAAATATATAATGAATTTGAATGCTTACCCGAGTACAGGAGTCGCCGCCAATAATAATGCAATTATTAATAATTTCAACATTTTATCGTCAATTAAATTCTTGTTTTGTTAATAAATTATGTTTTACGAAATGAATTGCTGTTTCAAATGAAACGAAATGAAATACAGTATTAGAAAATGAAGTTAAGTGTTATTTGAGTATACTAGTATTATAATATAATAATTGACTTCGAAGAGAGTCTATTATACGGTATAATATAAAACTTAATATTCAACATTAATTTATAATGTTCTACTACAAATGATATTTGAACATTTTAAAAATATACTAATAAACTATTAGGAATAGTACAATAGAAATATACAAATAGTGGTCTAGACTTAGACATTTCAAATATCATTCAAAACCTTATGCATTATATTCCACTATTCTATGAAATCAACACAAATGTAAGTTTGACTGTAAAACACAAAGTTTTCAATCTCTCTCTCAATCTAAAAACTTTTGAAACTGAAAAAGTTTTTGAAAAGGAAAACAATTTCACATAAATACCTCACACCTTGTGAAGAGATAGTGTTGTATAATATATAACAAAATAACTTTTCTCTTTAAAAACAAGTGTTTTTGAGTATTAAAAATGTTTTTTCAGAAGACAAACAACAAGTTTTGCACGAATTGTTAGCTATTATACGAGAGAAAAACAATTAAAGCACTTCTCGTTATACACACCGAGTGTTAAAACACAATAATAATTGCTGTGAACTCCGAGCGCCGCGGCTTTCAATGTAATAGAGAGCACAGGACTGACAGGGAATGACTGCTTTCAGACTCACTGTATCTATGAATATATAGAAAGCAAGGGATGGTTTAAAAGTACTGAAGAAAAGTATATCTTTAAAAGTGTTCAGAAGTTTGTTAAAAGTCTGTGTCTTCTCGGCTGGTATTGAGAGGTTGTTTTACAGCCAAAAGCTGTTATGGAGTGGTGTTTAGCACAGGAATTGGACAGAGAGGAAGGGGAGGGACAGGCGAATGAGTGAGTGAATGGTGTGGTGTGTGAGTGCTATCTGTTATGTATGTTAAGTGTATATTATTTTTAATGACAGACAGAAATAGTTTATATAATACATAAAAGAGAGAAAACTTGTTTTCCAATTGTGTGCTGCACTCGGATTTGAATTGTTTGATAGTTTAGCTTTGATAGTATGTGATAGGACTAGCATTTTGTGGGCACCGGAGCTATCAGTATGAAAGGATGTGGACAGGGGTATGGTATGGTATGGTATGGACCACTTGTTGTTGGAGGGGATTTCTGTACTAAAGTGCAAACATAGAAATTATTCGTAACTATTGGTAATTAAAGCAAATTATTCGTCGGTTCCCAACAATTAAATGTACAAAATATTAGAGAAGAGCTTATAAAACATTTTGTAATTACTTTTGCGATATAATAAATTAATAAAATTTGATTATTTGAATGTCGTTTCCCTACGAATACAGAGTTAATTGATGCAAAATGCAATAAAATAAATGGTAATAATTGCATATAAGTTATTTAGTATATCTTATGACAGCATTTAATCCAATTGTTTCAATAAGAGTCCCCAAAACTGTGTGATGAGGGCTTCTTTATGAGGGCTGGGAGTGTATGTAATCATTGTTACTCTATTCGGTTTACACTTACGAGTTAGATGCGAATGTTTATAATTTCAGATACAATTTATAATTTTAAACACCTGTCTATTTTTACTCGAAGTACAACAATAAGTATTTTTACTCGTTTTATATATTATATTAATATTTATTAAATTATTAATAATTTCATCTCTATTTGGTATAAATACTATAATAACTTTGATAAATAATAAATAGCATAGAATTGTATTATAAATAAATAAGATATTACTTCTAAGAATTATTGAAAATAGAATTAGTAAAACTTTCTCATAGTTTTTGGGACATTCAATTCAAATACAATATGAATACAAAGTCTCGAAAATAAGTTAGGAATTCGTCCGTAAGTATAAAAACACACAACAAATGTATGGAAACTATTAATCAGTTGTCAGATCATAGAGTAGTAAACAGTTTGTTCGGTGTTTTGCTCTTTAAAGTATACATCAATTTGTGAACAAAAAAGTCTTTTTTCAAACTAAATGTCATTTATTTAGCGAACGGTATGTCTGCCACTAACAAACAGTTCTGCAATATATTTAAGTCAAATGCCTTTTAAGTCAAATATTTTTGCATACAATATGTTTACATACTGTACTCTGGGAAGGAGAGAGAGAGAGAGAGAGAGAGAGAGAGAGAGAGAGAGCTAACATCATAATTTAAATAACATGAAAAATAGTTTCAAATTTTAATTGTAAACCATAAATAAAATGCACACAACTTTTAAAATAAAGGTTTAGGTCAATCAATAACTCGCATAAATTTTCTCAAAACAAACATTGTTAACTAGTAATTTTTTTGAATAATGTGTTTTCTATACAATATTTTAATACTTTATTATATACGGAAACAATTGAAATTACGAATTGTATAAAAGGTGTTTGAAGTATGAAATAGTGGGCGGATTCGTGAACTCTATTATCGATTATAAACAATGTCTTTGCAATTATAGCATCTCTTAAACATCTCTCTCTCTCTCTCTCTCTCTCTCTCCATCATTTTCGGATTTCATATGTGAATGACCAAGGTGTCCATCAGGAAGTACAAACTCTGCTATAGTGTCATTTACGTGTTATTTATGTTTGAACGAAAGTTTTATTGCACGTAAACTTTTAATGGTTGTACAACATTTGAGGAATTGTGTGTTAACAGAATTTAACTGTAACCCAAACCCCAACCCCAACCCCTATATTCTTATATCTGTGCACTTTAATCAAATGTTTTTTGTTGTTTTTATTCATTTGAGTTCAATATCACAAACAATTGCATTTATTGAGTTCATATAAAATAAATAATAATTTTGATTCCGATTTTCAATCATGAAAAATTACAATTTATGTTTATCATAAGATTTATTTATTGTACTCAAATACATGTGTGGTTTTCGTTGTGTATTAAAACTCACAACTATTTTCTATTCGTATAATAAAATGTTATAAATAAAAAGTTATATAAAGTTTTAAAACTTAAATATTGTTATCATTAGAAACCAGATCGCAATAGATGTGTGTGTTTACTGAACTAAACTTTTGGGGTCACTATTATGTTTGAAGTCCACTAACATATAAACTATTTTTATTATTGAAATATTTTATTCACAATAACAATAATAAAGGCATGAATTATGACAAGAATTTTAAAGATTTTCACGATCAACCATTTCATTCAAAAACCTCTTTTTGTCGCAAATAATCAGATAAGAAATTGAATTAAAATTTTGTTTCAAACATTTTTAAAAGTGTAATAAAGATTAGATGTTATATAAATGATAAGAGATTACAAGATATTTTTTAATTTTTAAATATTAACTAGACACAAAAAGTAATTTAAATTAATTGTCATGCGCTCAAAATAAGTTTATATTATAAAACTAGATTCTATTTATATCATATGCCGGTTCATTTAGTTTTATATTTATTTTTCAAATACCATTTAATTCATTTATGTACTACATTTAATATTAATGACTATTTTGTAATTATCTATGAATTAAAGGACAATTATATGGAGATATTTTGGGTGAAAATAACAAAAATAGATTCAATGACTTTATGCAAACATTTTTGTCAAACACGTAAGCCTTTAGTCCTGAAATATGTGACCATTTAATGTGAAAATAGTTTAAAATTCTTGTTTAAATAATAATCGTATGAATAATAGGATAATAATGTGGATGTCTTTATGTCAATATCCATATAATGGTGAACAGTATTGGCAGACCATAGATGTCGGTGTCCTTGAGGTCTTCACTTATTTTTGAGTCCGAAAACACATTTATATCTCATTTTGTTTGTCAAAAGTCTTTTAGTCGCGAGAAGTTTGGAATTATCAGATAAACTACTTGTACTTCAACCAAAATAACATATTGTGCGCTCACTATACGATTCATGTACTTATTGTCACATTATTTTATTTTCGCCAAAAATGCTTTAAACAAAAAATTGATTACATTTTTTGGTAAATATCTTTGCTCTTTGCTTCAATTTATTTCTGTAATGTTTGAGTGAATGAGAGAGAGAGAGAGAGAGAGAGAGAGACCTTGAAATTGAGAGACTTTTAAGAAAAAGGATTTTCGTGTAATGAAAGTACACTTTAAGAGTGAAGATAACAATAAAAATCATAAGAAATAAAGTTTTTAAGATTTCTTGCGGACAATCAATGGGTTTTAATATTTATGGTTTTGAAAGCGTTTACTATTTTATCATAAATTGGTTTAAAATTAAATTTACAACAAAATCTTAAAATATTAGTGGGTTTTGAGTTATTTGTAATGTTTGACAGCTACTGGTGCCATCCAATGTAGGCTACTATACCATAGCACCGGGCAAGCAGTGAAGACATCAATGGTTTCATAATGAGAGACACCTGTGTTCTCTGGGAAGACCTCATTATTAAACAAAAACTCTTCATTTGAATATTTATGAGGAGAGAGTGATGGACGGTATGGGACGGGTGTCTGAAGGGAAACGCTTTTATAGATTGAAGGGAAGGGTGTTTTATAAGAGTCGACATAAAAATTGAGTACTTTTTAATAATGAGTACATCAAGGGTTCGGGTGGTTGAGCACTGGGAGGGCGATGACTACGACATCGGCTATATATCATGCATTATGTCTGAACATTTGGTTGTCTAAACACTTATTTCTATGCTTTTTGCTGTAAATCAAAATTAGTTGCATAATAAATCAAAACTACAAATGTTTAATAACATTTTCTAAAATATTTATTCTCAATAAACTATTCGTAATTTTAATTTAAAATAAATAAACATTATATCATGATATTTGTCAAGAATATTGCGATCACTTTCGTACGATTAAGTACGAGTGAAACGCGATTACTGGTTAGTACTGCAATGATTGCAATGATACAATACTAGCACAAATTATCATCAATATGATTGCTTTAATTTAATTGAATTTGAAATTGCTTACATAGGCTGATAATTTTGTTTGACACAAACATTTAAATCAGATTATTTGTTGGCTTCACTAATTATAAACATTTCCTAATATAAATCTATTAAATATCAACCTTGGACAATCATTATTGTGTAATACCAGTATGTTATATAATAGTATATTGTATATCTACAGTTTATCAATCATTTATTGATATTAATCCTTTCATTTCAATTATGTAAGAAATTAAAACATGTTTACAAAAGGATTGGAATTATTTTGAAGGTTATTTGAATCTCTTTAAAATGATTTCAGATTTATATAAATAATTTAGTTTCAATTTAGATATTAATCGAAATGTTTTAAGCATTAATTTTGAATAAATTTGGAAAATGAAGTTTTGTATTGCTTTAATTTTATTGCCGTTAATGGCAACACAAGTTTTTGGGTGAGATGTCTGACTAAATATTTATATTTTCTTTGTATTGAATAATTAATTTTATTTTAATTCTACCAAATAACTAACTTTTAAACCAAACTATTAAATAACAATTTTTTATTTCGTATAAATTAATGCATAAAATCTTTAAATATTTTAATACAGTACATTAATACTGTACGGTATTATACAGTAGTTAAGTGAAAATGAATCAAAATGTATACATTTTTGTGATTATTTCTTTGCCTATAGAGATGCATATAAGACAGAAAAAGAGATTTTGGATAAAGTGTTAAACAAAAACATTTATGACTTGAGAATCGTTCCCCGAAATTATAACGAGTCGACCAAAATTGGTGGTCCAGTGGTCGTCCGCACCAATATGTATATCCGAAGTATCGATTACATCGACACCCACTCCATGACATACAAAATGCAAATCACATTCAGACTCCAATGGCACGACCCGAGGCTCAGGTTTGATGATATGAACGGTCAGATTAAATATCTGGTGCTTCAGGACATGACAAGGATATGGATTCCCGATGTATTCTTCTCCAACTCCCAGTCCACTCAATCGCATACAGATCTCGTGCCTAATGTGTTGCTCCGTATATATCCGGACGGAAGCGTATTGTTCTCCAAACGCTTGACAAGTACTCTGAGTTGTCCAATGGATCTCATGTACTACCCCTTTGACAAACAGATCTGTCCATTCATTGCGGCCAGTTGTGAGTATTGTACTACTAATTAATGCATTACTACACTATTGTACACTTATTTACTTAAAACGAGATTATTATTATGTGTTTACAATTAAAGATGGCTATACGACTGACGATATCATACTATTATGGAAAGAGGGAGACCCTGTTCAAGTAAATTAACAAATATATATAAATGATTTGTCAGCTATATTTCTAAATAATATTTAATTGTGCCTAGGTGTCTAAAAATCTAAAATTGTCGGAATTTGTTTTGCAAAAACATATAACCTCTTACTGCACATCCAGAACCAATACTGGTATTATATTTATATTAGTATACATGTATAAATAAACACGTTCAACAATGAATAATAATGAACTGGTCAATTTCTTAGGTGAATATTCATGTATGAAGTTAAACATACAGTTAAGGAGGAGTTCCGTGAAGTATACGTTCCAGTGGTTCGTCACCACCGGAATCCTCACATTCTTATCGTTCATATCGTTTTGGATGAAATCGCAGAACTCCTCGCGGATCAAGTATTTGGTGATCATATTATTGGTGCTGTACTCACACATCGTGGTCATCAATATGTGGTCGTCCCCTAAGACCACGTACTACATGACAAAGGACTGGTGGTTCATGTGGTGCGTCAACTTTGTTGTGGCCGTTATTATCGAGTGGACTATCGTTAGACTCATTGACCGTAAATGTGGCACAAAATCACTCAATGAATGCAGACATGATTTCGGAGACGGAACTACTCTCGTATACAAATCCCTAATATCCTTTTCATATTTAACCTCTCTCTCTCTCTCTCTCTCTCTCGTCTTCACGTTTGCTCTCTGTGTCTCTCCTCTGCCTCTGAACTACCAGTGCCTCACACATGTATTGAGTCTGTGGGTGCCCTCCTCCCAGTGCCTATGACTCTGGTCGTCACACTCTCATCTGCTGTAGTGGCAGTGGAGGAGCACTGGTATCTAATAAATGATTTGTCAGCTATATTTCTAAATAATATTTAATTGTGCCTAGGTGTCTAAAAATCTAAAATTGTCGGAATTTGTTTTGCAAAAACATATAACCTCTCACTCACTCACTCACTCACTCACTAACTAACTAACTAAGTATTGTATATTCCTTTAAGAAACCTCTGGTATCAAAGGACTCACTGAATAGTAATTGTGGTGAGAAATGGAGGAACTGGTCGTTTGGACGAAAGGTGGACCTGTTAAGTGCCGTCATATTCCCGGTGCTTTTCATCGCATATATCGCTTACTTTTGCCACAAAACCTTTGGCAGAGAAGACTGGAATGAATACTAAATGTTATTCATATAAATTCAATAAAAACAGACAAACCCTTTCAAGAATGACCAAGCTATAAATCATTCTTTATTTTACTGTATCACCAATAAATTTGAATTTAAATTTCTTTTATAAACTTTTTATAGTAAATAAAAATCTGTCAGTAAGTGTTGTTAAATCAATATATGATTCAAACATTGATTGCAATAGAAGGCAATACTTGAATAAAAGTTTTCTCAGTTATGCTTTCAATTGGTTGCTATGAAAACAGATTTGATGTGAATATCAAACAAATAATTTCTCTATTAATCCAAAAATTAATTATTAAAATCAATGAGTTTTTGGCTATATTTTAAGGTAAATAATAAATATAAATAAAATATTAAAAATAAAATGAGCATTGAATTGGACAATGAGGCCAATGAGGACCATATGTCTAATGATAGACAGTGAGTATTATAATTATTCTTATGATACTGAAAGCACTTTTAACTAATATTAAACTCATTTCATTTGCATATATTTATGAACTATCATATAATACATGTGCTCTCTAGATATTTTACAGTATTTACAATAATTTACAGTATATTTGTTAAATAATTTCTTATATTCTGTGTTCAAACTTAATTGGTTTCATTGAATCTAACTTAGAGTTCTAGCACATTTGTTATTAATGAAAGTTGAATCATTAATTTGAATATATTACAGTATTGCCAAGATCATTTTTAAATAAAATTAATTTGACTTTAAATAAAAGTTTAATAAAAATACTATTTATTATAAAATTCATAATAAATTATTCATTTAATATGAAGTATGAAAATAATCTCTCTCTCTCTCTCTCACACACACACACACACACACACATCTAAAATGATAATTTGTTTGTAGATCTCTCTCATCTGGGAATCAATTGACAAAATCTTTGTCCACCGAAACCATCAGTTCGTTCTCGACTACCGTCTCCTCAAACAAGTGGCTGTTGGCTAACAATGAATTGAATGCCAACTTATATACCATCCCTTCGTGTATATCATTGGCCGATATGTTAGGCGACGGCGACTATAAGCTTATTATCGCTGACTTTGGTTTCCATACAAATAAACCTAAACTTAAGGTTAAGATTATAAATCATCTATATTTTTAAAATTGTGTGATAATAGCGATAACATCATAAACAGGTATATCGAGGGACAGTATTGCAAACTGAGAGCAGTCTAGTGGATATACCGGCCAGTATTGCGGTGTTTCATATGGATGGCAACGATCCGCAAACACCGGCTATAGCTGTGGCGTCGGGCGCCTACCTCTATGTCTACAAAAACATGAAACCCTTTTACAAGTTTTCTTTACCCACTCTGGAAGTGAATGGTATGGAAAGGGATGCCTGGAGTCAAGTGAAGGACGAAAAGATCGATACGTTGATGCTTAAGGATGTGTTGAATAATATACGGTTAGAGATCGGCGATACCGGTCTGACCAGCCGTTCCCAGGCATTCATCGCACTGACCAACTCGGCAGAGATGGACACATTTGTGGACACATATAAGGATCAGCCCCTCAAGAGACTGACTGTTGTCACGTGTCTGACGACGATGAAGAAGACAGTGTCGGATGAGAATGCCGTCAGTTGTCTGGTGATGGGCACTGAGAACCGGGACGTCTATATCCTAGAGCCCGACGCCTTCACTATATTAGTGACCGTAAGTGTGATTGAAGACAAGTTTCAAACATTTGTCAACTGAATAGTCACTCCCTGTTAGGCAACGGTTCCGGCGGTTCCCGTGTTTATCGAAGTGAACGGTCTGTTTGACGTGGAGTACCGGCTACTGGTGTCGTGTAGGGACGCCCACATCTATGCCATCAAACGGGGCTACAAAACGGGTCGACTGTGTCTGCAATTGAATTCACAACCCGTGGGTCTGTTGAGAGTCAACAACCATATAGTGATCGCAACGATGAACCAAATGCTCAGCACTTTCACCACAAAAGGTCTAAAAATATCCCTTTTTATTCATTCATTACTTTTGTATAGAATTCCGTTTAGTTTCAAAGAATATTCTTATTCTCCGGTATAAGACTTGACGAGTAATTAACTGTCAATTGAATTGATAGGTAACTGTCTGTGGAGTGTTGAACAGCCGGCGCTCATCACAGCAATTGAGTCAATAGAGGTGGAGCGCCAGAGTCTGAAACTGATTGCTGTGGCCCTGGAGTGCAAACAAATCCATTTATATCAAGACAGACATAAAGTGGATATCTTGGACACCGACGACATTGTGGTGGCCATGAAGTACGGGCGCTTCGGAAGGGAGGACAACACTCTGGTGATGGTCTCCCGGAACGGCAGTCTCACCGTTAAGATACTGAAACGGACGGCAAAGTTCGCGGTCAAGGAGTTCGTCGACTCACCCGTACTGGCAGTCAACTCGAGGCTCAATATTCCCAAAAAGACTAAATTGTTTGTCGACCAGACTATGAGGGAAAGGGAACAGTCCATCAGTGAGTCTTTCCACTCAATCACTATGTATTTCACAATAATTATACCATTTTTATGTTGGACTCAAACCCCGTGACAGGTATTCACCGTACGTTTCAACACGACTTATATCGACTCAAATTAATAGCCGCAAGGTCTTATGTCAAAGCCATTGCTTCCAGCCTTAATCCCTTGTCATCCAATGCTATCGACCCCTTAAAGTTATCCGCACAGGTATGCGAATCAAATATTTAATGTAATAGATACAGGGTACTATTTTATTTGAATATTAATAGGTATAATGTAACACTCTAATTATTTGTCTTATAGAATATCAAAATGAATATTTTACTATTTTATATTTGATAGTTAATATTGGTTTTATTAAACATTTACTTTAATTTCTATTTATTGCTATAATGAGGAAATGAAAAACAATGCATTGAATAGAAATGTCAAACTAATGTCAAACTCTGTATCACTTAAAACGAGTACAACTATTGGCTATTAATATTAATTTGTGATGAATAGGTGCACGGATTGGGCCCTATATTTAGACTGGTATTAGAGTTGCAAAATACATCACCGGACACACCGTCGATGGACCTGTTGATGACCTTCCAGTGCGATGTCCGCATCTATACCATTGATAGGTCGGTCATTCGCGTGCCATTCCTGGCGCCGGGATTTATCTATCCGTTCGCCACACGAATAGTATGCGTCAGTAAACTAAACATCTCTGATATTATAAAAGTAATGTTCACTTGTTTTCTCTCTATTTTGTCATCTCTTACATGTTTTACATATTTTAACAAAATGTGAATTTTTAACTTCACTTCACTTCAGGTACTTGTGGTCAAGTCGGATGAGATAATACCTATAATTACAGCCGTCATCAATATGCCCGCCAGTGAGGCACCCATTGATGGATAGACACACAGACCCACTGCACCTAACTATATGTACAATTATGCTACAGTACTGTATTATGTTTTAATGTTTAGATTTATGTCTAATAATGTACAAATTCTGTAAATAATAATTTTAAACATTTTCATTGTAATTATAAATTAATCTATTCTTAATTAAATAATTTATGAGAATAAAATTGTGAATATTATAAAATAATATAGTTTTCTACGACTTCTAATAGATGTCATATAAGATGCCATACAGTAGAACATGACAACAGAATTAATATTGAGTTTTCGTAAGTGAACAAATTGAAAACAAATCATATTTTTATTAATTAATGAGAGAAAAGAGAATATTTTCTATGAGCCATATATTACTAAATTTATTTATTTATTTATTTTGTTTTAGCTATGATTGTTAATAAATTAAGAATATTTATACAGTATTTCATTATACATGTAATAGGGTTTATTTGAAGGGTAATTAATTTCAATTTAATGTTTAACCATTAAAAAGTATTTTTTATAAAATAAAATATTATTCATAATAAGCTTTATCAAAATGGAAATTTATGGACAAAAATACATTTATTTTAATGAAAATTTTTTCTTATAAAATCTAAGACAAACTTAAAAACTAAATTTACTTAATATTAAGTAACAAAAAATTACATTAAAATTAAATCTGTTATAGTTAATAAAGCTTAATTTTATTATCATTACTTATAATATTACCTATTAAGAATTTAAACTTAAACGTTTATAGAACTAATTTATAATATACTGTATATAAATTTATATTATATGCAATTTATTTAATCATTTATGATATACTAGTAATTTATACAGTAAGTACTATATTATGAATGTTCAAAATAAACGTATCGATAATGGTCTTCAAAACACATTTATTTAAAGTACAAAAACTAAAAATTAGATGATAATGAGCACGCACATTCATCACACATTTATACACATAAATATATTTGTTTTCAAATAATCCATATTTTATGACTTACTGTATAAGAGACACAAAGTTTTATGTATTTTCTCACAGAAACATCTAATTTAAAGAATTTATTTTTATGTCATATAAAGTAACTGTAATTTAGTTACAGTATCATTGTTTCAATATTTTATGAGTTTTTTATTTTCAAAATATTTCAAAATATTCACTTTTATTGTAAATTTGGTGAAAGTTATGGACAGTATATCAGAGGTCTGTCGGCGTTTGTTTGATATTTTGCAAAGTTATGTAAATTGAAGATTAAGTTGAATTTAAATTATAAAACTGTAGGCAATCCTAAGGTGTCGGAAGGCATTCAATAGGAATATCACCCGAAATGTTGAGTTCCGTAAAGAGCAGCTCAAAGCCATCCATCGATTGCTTTCTGAAAATGAAGAAATGTTTGTCGACTCACTTGAATTGGATTTCAAAAAGGTTTTCAACAAAGCTGTTTTAATTTAATATTTTATGAGTTTATTATGTATTTGTCGTATTTTACTCGTAATTGTAGCCCAAGAATGAGGTGATAATGAATGAGTTGGAGGTAACCAAAAATGATTTGGTCTATCAGTTGGACAATATTGATGAATACGTTAAGCGCAGACCAGTCGACAAATTAGGCTTTTCTGTGGTCGACGAGCCCTTCATTCAGTACGAGCCCTACGGTGTGGTACTAATAATCGGTGCCTGGAATTACCCTGTTCAACTATTGATTGCACCACTGGTAGCTGCCATTACAGCGGGTAACTGTGCCATTATAAAGCCCTCAGAAGTGCCCAAAAACACTGAACACCTTCTGTCGGAACTTATACCACAATATTTGGATAATGTTTGTAGAAATTAAATATGATTTCAAATCCAATAAATAGCTGAATGTAATGAATAAATGTTTATGAAATACTGACAGAACTGCTATCACGTGATAACTGGTGGACCGGAAGTGTCGACAGAGTTATTGAGGCATAGGTTTGATTACATATTCTTCACGGGCTCTACAACTGTGGGACGTATTGTCTACGAGAGCGCAGCCAAACACTTAACACCCGTTACGCTGGAGTTGGGCGGCAAGAGGTCTTCAATAGTCTTCACAAATAGTCTTCAAATTATCATAACTTATGAGATATTCTGTGAATTATAGCCCCCTTTGGATCGATGAGACTGTAGGAGACCTGGAGGTGGCCTGTCGTCGCCTACTTTGGGCTAAACTTATAAACTTGGGCCAGACATGTGTGGCACCCGATTACGTGATAACCACATCCAAATGTCAAACGCTGTTCATCGGGACAGCCATTAAGATATTGAATGAATTTTGTGGTTCAGATCCGCAGAAGTCGATGGGTTTGTCTCGTTTTGTGAACGAAAGGAACTTCAATAGAGTTCACACTCTTCTCAGCGCCACTCAGGGTATGAAAAGTTTGGTTTTAAATGTCATTTAGTTTTTATTACCAAAATTGTAGGCAATATAGTGTACGGAGGAAAGACAGACTTAGAGGACAGGTATATCGAGCCCACAATAGTAGCCGACGTTCCGCCGGACGACTCGTTAATGTCTGAAGAGATATTTGGACCCATTTTGCCGATACTTATAGTGCGAGACGTTTGCGAAGCCATTGCTTTCATCCGAAGTCGTGACAAACCTCTGGCTCTCTATGTGTTCAGTAGTGACGACCAAACTATCAATAAGTTTGTGGACCAGACATCCAGTGGTGTGTTCTGTGCCAACGATGCCATCATTAATTTGATGCGTGAGTTAACCTAACCACACATTTTTGGTCTAATTATTAATACGTATGTATTTATTATGCTGATTATGCATGTGATTGTGCTTGATAATCTAGTGGATAGTCTGCCGTTTGGTGGTGTCGGCAATTCAGGCACCGGTAGATATCACGGCAAATGGTCTTTTGAGACCTTCTCTCATATGAAGGGATCACTGATTCGTAACTATAATAAAGAGATGGAAGCGATGACACAGTATTTGATATTTCATTATTTATTTGACATGATTTGACACTTAAATAACTACTCATAGGAACCGTTATCTGCCGTTCAGTGACGAGAAGACCGATGCCATGAAGAATATGGTTAGAAAGCCGGCGCCCTATGAGATGCCCGACAATCGCTTTATTAATGATTAGTATTTATACAATATTTCCACACAATGTTAACTGCTTTTGAGTACAAATTGTGTTGTAATTCATGAATAGTTAGTTGTAATAATAATTCTGTATTTAATCATTAATTTGTAAAACACTAGTAATATTGCAATTTGAGTGTAAATTCTGGATAAATATAATGATTTTATTGAAAATTATTAAATATAATAAAAATAAAATGACCTCGAATAATAATTGACAATAGATTATGAATTGTAAAACATTACTACAAATTACAGTATATTACAAAAAGTTTACTTTACAATGATAGAAACCCCAAATGTTTATCCATATCCCACTCCATCACAACCGGGTTTAATGCCATAACCGTAATAGTGTTTATACTGCTCGAGACCCCATCGGCCGTAATAAGCCCACGGATAAGGACCACAACCGTAATGCCATCCCTTAAAAAATAGCAAACTTTTGGCGTCCACAACACTTAACGTATGTATTAAAACCAATATTTGTAAAGCAAATTGCAAATACTAGGAATAATTAAAACCATACTTAATGAAACATATTTGAGATAAACAAGCAAATTTTTACCTTAAGTTTTTCCATCATTATTTGTTGTTTATATTTAAAATATACTAAGAATACACTGAATATAAAATAATATTTTGCATTCTTATAGACTAAATAATTTATGGTAAAATTATTTTGTTGTTGAGCTGTATTTATACTGCAATTTAATATTTATTCACATAATTTGTATATAATATGTAATTGAATTTATCTAAAAATATCTAAAACTGTTGTCACTTTCACTATAAACAGGTTTATCTAACATTCCTATTTACTGGTCATTTTGTTAGTATCTCTGTTCTAATATTATATTTGTTTAATAATATTGTACTTACGGTATATTTGGTTACTATAAAATATATATAGTATTACACTTTTATTAATTAATGAAATTTTTATATAAATTATATAAATGTATTTAATGTGACATTATTTTGAAATTATACAGAAATGACATTATTTTAATCTCAATTATGTGTATAATTAAGTGATACATTTGGTCAAAATGGATATTTAAGTCAAAAAAGTGTGTTTATCAGACCATTCATAATGAAATTGTGTTATATTTTTCGTGTATTATATTGTATACAAAATGTGATTTGCATAGAGTTTGACAAATTTAATTCAAAACCTTTCCTTAAAGTAATTTGCAAATAAACACAATAAAAGGTTATATTTTTTTATAAATTACAGACAGTATAGCAAATAAATGCTTAGTAAATACAATTAAGATAATCACTGATAATAATCTTATATAAAAAAGTGTTGGAATTATGGTTATATGAAAGTGGAAATTGTTTCCTTATTATAATACTGTTTATATTGTAGAAAATTAAACACTTTTTACAAATTTCCGTTTTTAAAATTTAAATATATAAATTGAAATCTATTCAATTTTTACAGTAAATAGTAAAATTTATAAAATTATTTTTAATTATTATATAATTAAATTTCAATATACTAATTTTGTTGGTCTGAATGTAATATTAATTTTGCCTTATAAATAACTATTCAAACATTTAGAAAATAATATTAGAAATAATGAGGTAATGTATGTAACAATTAATTAAATGAAAACAGTATTTTATGATTAAATAATGGATTAGAATAGTTATTATATAAAATGATAGAAAATAATGAATTTATAGAATTACTGTAAGAATTCAAACCAACACATGAATATAACGGTCGATATAATGAGTTTCTGTATTAATAATTTGCCGTAAAATAGTGCCAGTGCTCCCAGGTATATGTATTTATCCATAATATCCACCCCAAAGACCAGACCTGCCCCAACCCCAACCACCCCAGTATGGATAATAGCCGTGCCAATATGGATAGCCATAATAGTAAGGGTAGAAACCATAGAAACCTTTATTAAACCCATTAGTTGACTTGATTATTAAGATTATTAATAAAACCGCTGTTAAAAATAGTATCTAAAACAAAACAAATTAATTTAATATTATGTCAAATTTTTAAAAAATCAAGTACTATTTTAAACAAACCACGAACTATTATTTTAACCAAATATAAGTAGTATTTTGATAAATATCACAATAAAGATATGAGTTAACCAAAAGCATACTTATATATCAATATAAATATAGTAAGTTGTAATATGTTTTTAAAAATATAACATAAAATAAAGGAAAGGAATGCTTAAAAATAACTTAAGAGTTGAATAAAACAGTGGAAATCACAATTTTATATAAATTTTTCCAAATTACAATTTTCCACTTTTCAAAGATATGTTTTGCATAAAATGGTAAATTCTCTACAATTCTTGTAATATGTGTATAGCCTTCTACTAGTCCTAAAGCTAACTATGCATACAATTATATAATGAAAAAGGTTTTTACAAAATAGACTTTCGCCGGATGTCAACATAATAGTCATTATTAAAGAATAATTCAAGTATTAATATAAATGTCATTATTATCAGTATTTTTAAAAAGATATAATGAATATAATATTTCTTTTTGAAAACATATAAGTAGCAAAAAAGTAAAATAAAAATAAAAAGTCATATTTCAAATACTTACTTGTATTTTATGCATATTTCAATTGCACTTTTTATTCACACAAAAATCGTATAAAATGTTTGTAAAACTTTTTAGTCTTACTTTATCTCCAAATTCTGTATTCATTCAATTCATTCAAATGATCTCTTTTGTCGAAACATAAAATAAATGAAATGAAAATCATTTACTCCATTACACCAGAGATTACTTTCGTTTGACTACATTTTGTTTGCATTTTATATGGATTTTTGCCCAAAGATTTTCGCATTACATTTCCGGCAAATCATTTAGATGTTTGAACTTATGGAACATGTATTTGCCTTGAAATCAATTATATTTAAGTATGTGTTTAGCTATGAAACCAATTCTCACAAACAGAGTAACTGTCCGTTGAGTTCACAAGTATTTTAACGGTCACTAATTTTTGCCCTCTCCTACCAGTTATTGTGTTATTATATTTACAAAACAATTTCAATGCGATAATTGAATCACATTATTAAGCGAATTCATACATACAGTTAAGTCTCGCAATAGCTAGCTAATAAAATATTATTTTATTCTATTTTACTTTTGATTATTAGGGTTAATTTAAATTGGGTTCATATTGTACAATATTACTACAAAAGTAAACTTTTTATATGTTATATTATACTGTAATAGGTTAGAAGTGTTAGAATTGTAAATTTGCATTAATAATAAAAAATAATATACGTAAAATTTATTAGACCAGTAATAATTTGTTTTTATATAATTATCACTATTTTATTGCATATCTCTTCCCATACTTTCACTTAATATTTTTTATTTGAATTAATGTCACTTTTATTTAAATAAAGTATAAATATTTATATGATTAAAATAGTGACAGTCAATAATATTTTTCATAACAGAAATCAATTTATTCATAGAAAAATTGTTATTTATATAGGAAGTGATTAGAAATAAATATGATATACCCTTTTAATATTCGAGATGCAATAAATTAGAAAATATCCAATTGATAAAAGTAAAACATTTCTTTACCACATGAACTTTTACCTGATTTTTTTTATTACAAACCCTGACCCTACTCAGTGACCAAATTATTTTATAGGTACACTTGACCTGAAATAGGTATACTGTATTTAATTAATGTATACAGTATATTTTATACATTTTTAATATTTAAATGATCTCATTAATTAATAATTTAAAATAATTAATAGACAAATATTAATAAGTTAACACAATAACTTGTAATAATTCGTATTTTATTGTATTTTATGAATATTTAATTTATAATTTAAATTGATTACATTGTATTCTAATAAAAATTAAACATTTAATTACATTGCAATATACTAAAATTTAATTTGTTTATAGTTACAAATTGTAGTAGTTACAATTAAATCAGGAGAGTATGTCTACTGTATGTACAAAAATAATTACATTTATCAAAATAAAATGTATAAAATAAGTTATTTAATATAAGAATTTATTCAAAAATACAGATTGAGTAGATTGGTATGAAATATATAAAATCATAGTACAGACATAATGCTTAAATAAACCAAAAAATATGATTACAACCAAAATGAGTTGCTTATGAATAATTTATCCCCAACCGGGTCCTCCAACATTGCCGGCTCCCCAATGCCAGGGCACCCAAAAGAAAGGGTAGTGCCCCCAGTGGTATGGATATCCCTTCACTATTTTGATTGATCCACCGTTTGTGGTACTGATGGTCATTATGATGACAAGAAATGCAAACAAAACTAACAACTATAAAAACAAGGCATTAAAAATCGTATCAAAAATACACATTTAAATAATAAATAGAAAAACTTTCTTTCAGTAATGAATGTTATAAACTTGCCTTTAACTTCAAAATGTTTGTCATTTTGTTGAATATTTTACACAATTCTTCATAAGTTTTTAAATTATAATAAAAAGTTTCTCTATATTTATGTCTGGGCTTTATATAGCCTTAAGAATGAATAGAAACATGATTTTTATAGTAATTATGTGCTGAAGAAATGTTTGTAGTTTTCATTTCATATTTTGTATAAAAATAGTCATAAAAAAGTCGCATAAGTGGTCACTATTTTCACGCTTCATATATGAGAAAAAGTAGTTATTTGACTGGGATTTAAATTGTTGTCAAATATCTAGAAAAAGGAAATTTACTTTTTATCACATCTATTAATAAATCTTTGATATATTCGCTAAAACTACTGCACAGACAAAGCAATTTAAAACTAACGTGAACCAGTTTAAATTGTACTAATGGACAATTTCCCACAATTGTATTATACTGTAGGTTCAATTTTGTTATACTGTATGCTTAATAATAGTAATACTTTAAAATAAATGTTGTAATCTATTGCAAGATTTATATTTAATTTGGATTTATTTTGACTATAATTTTATTCTTATCTAATTATCTATTAATACATTATTTCCGTATTATTATATTTTGGACAAACATTTAAGTAATAAGGTTGCTTATAAAACTTCCGCTTAATTAACGAAAGGGCACCGGTATGTCGTATAATATATCATCTCTTAAAGTAAATGAGCCAGCATCCTTTTGTCCTCAGTTTCTTTCCATTTATACTTTAGATCAATTCCGTGAATAACAGAATATTCCGGGTATTAGTTACTGTAATTATAAATGTGATACTGTACAGGTTGACCATACTGATTTATAAAAAGAAATAGATTCACAATCAATACTCTTAAGTTGAATACGTAGACTACTTTAGTATGAATATATTCATTGTGAATTTCTATCATAAGTTTTTATTTTTATTAGTTTTACCATTAAATTAGCATTAATTCTATCATTGAGAGATCAATGCTCAACATTTGGTACATTTAGTACTTTCATACACTAATGCTTTATAGAGGCTTTACATTTGTGTACCAATAGAGTATTTCTATATAATAAAGGTCTGTATGTTCTCTACATGACTGCAACACACGTTTATTTGAAAGAAATGTTACCATAAATGACGTGAATTTGTAATAAATGCCAAACAATGCTATGATGTGATGTGATGTGAGAGAGCATTGCAGAGGGTTTCACAAAATGTTTGCCATTTCTGGACGTTATTAACGTGTGTTTGAAGTGAAACCCAAAACATTTGCACTGTTTTTGGACACAATTTAATGAAATTATTATTTGATTTACAATTAATTAAGTGATTCATTGACACCAAAGGGAAAGGGATGTCGAAAGGGAGCCAACCGTTAGCGTTGAGTCGCGAGAGACGGACCAATGCGGGCGCGAAGATGTCTGAGTTGTTGGACAGGGAGGAAGTGGTCGACGACTTCTATAAGACTACTTACGGCGGCTTTGAGGAGGTTTGCCATCAATTGATCCCATTATCACTCATTTATCACCACTTGTCACACGTGTTGTTGGCGAGTAATGTGGGGTTAATGGGTTGGGAGGGCTGTTAGGGTTGTCTGGGGTGTCGTCTCTGTGTGTCTATCTGTCTATCGTCTGTCTATCTCTGTGTCTACCTGTCTATGACTCATGACATGTCTGTCCCCTATGGATGTGATAGGAGGCCGAAGACAATGACTACCAGTCGGATGAGAGCGACTCCAACGATGAGATCGACTCCGACTTCAGTATTGATGAGAACGACGAGCCGTTGAGTGACGACAACGAAGAGGACGGGAAGAGACGGCGAACCAAAGCCAAGTCGGTCTATAAGGAGCCGAAAGCCGCGGCACCTAAACGTGTGGCACCTGTCAAGACACCCACACCTAAGGCCGAGACGAGTGGTTCGAGCACTCGAAGCGGTGGCGCCCGTCGGTCCGCTCCTCCCACTGCCAGTCCGTTGTCGTCGCCAACGAAGTCGCGAATATCGCCGAAGAAGTGGTTCCGGGAGTCGACCCGAAAGAACGCGAGAGAGACGGAGCACAGGCTTCGTGTGGCGCGTAAGGAGTCGGAGAAGAGACGGCTGTCCGGCAGGAATGTTGTGCCGCAATACACACCACTCACTCAACACGAGATGCTCAGGGAGTGCAAGAAGACTGAGGCCCTGAACCTCAAGTCACTCGAGAGGTATCGGAAGTTGGAGTTAGAGAAGTCCAAGAAGATTAAGTTGGTTAAGGAGGCGCCCAAAGGGCCGTACGTCAGGTACCAGTCGGTCGCTATGCCTCTCATCCAAGAGCTACCCGAACCCACAGCACAGGAGGCGCCCACTAATGGACACACGAATGGTGTCGAGCAAACTGTTGACGTATGTGTTGAGTCTACGAGTGATTTGAGCTAAGCTTCGCTAAAACGAGTTTCTGTTTCATGCTTTTAGGAGAAGCCGTCGTTGGCGCCGCCGATGGAGTCGTCGTCCAAGTGTTCGCGAACTTTCATCTCATTCACGGACGAGAAGACATACAAAGAGCACTTCCCTGAGCGCCGACAGCCGCAGCCCAAGCAGAAGTTGTTCTGTCCGATCAGTCACCTCCCGGGGCGTTACTTCGATCCGGTCACTCTGTTGCCCTACTCGTCGGCCGCCACCTTCCGGGCCATTCGTGAGGCCTATTACAAGCAGTTGGAACAGTTGGGCGATCAGAGACAGCCAGAAGTGGCCAAATGGGTTCAGTGGCGCAAACGGACGGCCGCTCACAGGCCTAACATTCAGCCCAGAATTATAAGAATTATTAAATGATTTACTATTTGTTTATTACTCTATTATTAGTGGTTTACTAATATTTATCACAATTCTTGAAATTGTCTTTAAAATAACTGATATATTGAATTGAATTATTGAAACAGTTTTATATAATACAGTACATGTGAATTGAATTAATTTGTCAGTATTTCATAGGTTTTTAAATTTTTGTAATGATTTTTGGATTGTTTTTATCCTATATTCTAGATTTTCTATGATTTCAATCTCTGTTAGCCCTTCCCATCGCATAATCACTACACCGATCATCAATGACTTAGTTTTTTAATTTTATTAAATTATTTTTTATACGAAATTATATTTAATTATTAATAAATTGCATTTAATTAAACGGTCAGCTCTTAAGTATTTATTTGTTTCATAAACTTAATTATCTGTTTACAATACAGTATCAGTTGATATTCTGATTCTAATTGATTGACTTTAATCCATAATATGATGTGTATACAGTATAATGGTACAGTATTATAAATACAGTGAGTTACTACAGTATTGAGTTTGGAAATTTATTTTCAAGTGAACATAATATACAGTATTAAGGAATAAATGAGAATCATTCATGTAATGGTATTGTTTATTAAAAGCGATTTAACTTATAAGTACAGTATATACCATAATGTGATCAATGATTCAATGATGCTATTAATGCCATCAGTTTGCTCGTCAAATCCATTATCATTTCATGTATTAATCCTCTGATAAACGCTTTCTTTGTTTGTATTCATTGAGGGATTATAAGTTTTTTGGGTATTTATAGTTACTTATCAATGCTGTGCATAATACTGGACGGCATTACTTGTTTGATCAAAAATATTCGGATAATTTATAAACAGGAATTTGTTGAAAGTAAGGTCCTTGTCAAATATTACAAGAATTTGTTCATTAAATATTCATTAATTTTTGTTTAATATACATTTTTGTTGTTTATTGTATCATTTATTTTTATTGATTTGCGACTAAATGGCTAAAAGCAATGCCTTTCCATTAGACAGCAATTAAGTCTTTGACTCGTATTTATGTATTCATTCATAAGGGCTGCTAATTGTGCGGCTTTTACTTTAGGCCAAACTAATTACTCTTTTAATTCAAACTTTCATAATTTGTTTCATTTCTCATACTGCCTGAACTCGTATTACATTCGCATACCTGTGCTATATCTGTGGTTTTGTCACTTGTATGGCAAGTGCGTTACAGACTGACCTATTTATACCAGGAATATATCGTAAATATCTTAAATGTTAGATTTGTCTGTCGAGAGAGAGAGAGAGAGAGAGAGAGAGAGAGAGAGATTTACAATTGTTTGTCTTGAAACAAATATTAACAACACTTTAGGAATTTTCTATTAATTTTAATTATGGCATTCATACAGGTTGTAAAATCTTTACTTATAAAATAAAATTATATTAATACTGTAGTATCCAGGTGTTATTACACAGTTATTACTTATTTTACAAATGTATATGTGAAGGTTAAGTAAGTTTGCATCGTATTTAAAGTGCTTACAATTAAATGTTGTATTTTTCTTAACTTTATTTAGTGCTATAAATGATTACAGCCTATAATTTTGTATTAGAAAAGAAATCAATCATAAATTTCGATGAGATATGCTCTAAACCTGAGTATCTATTTGATTGATTAACTATTGGTTTATTTATTACATGTCTAACAATAAAACAAAATCCTTTAATAATTATTTATTTATAATTTTTAAAATTATAAATAAACGAAGGATTAATGGATTATTAAATTTGGTTTTTGTGCTAAAAGTAATCATATAAAGAGCTTTCTAATTATAATCCCATATAATAGAAGGCAATATACATTATAGACAGATAACTGGTTTAAATGCAATTTCCACAAATTGTTTTCTATTGAAAGTCATAACAAAGTAATATTTATTTTTGTCAAAAGAATTTATTTTATTTTTGTAGGATCATGCATTTAATTTATTTAACCACTAATCGAAGGTTATTGTAATGTTTAGTATATTGATAAGACATATCATATGATTTTTTTCATTACATATTTCGATCAAATTATATTGTGTTTAAAATAATTATATATATAATTTTATGGATTTCTTGTATTTGAAGTGTGGGGGCTATTATTATAATAGAATTAAAAATCATATATTTATCAACAATCCTTTAATCCTAGTATAACTACAAATCGATAGCAAAATAATTATTTGTTATCACTAACCTTTAATCACTTGAAAAGTAGTTAAACCCAAATATAATAAATGTGATAAACATTTTTTTATTGAAAGTGATTTTTAACTAAATGTCTATTGAATGTTAATTAAATGATGATTGCTTTGAATTAATTAAGTTCACGATTACATTGAATTAAACGACAATAATTATTGAAATGTACACTAAATATAAACTCAATACTTTCTAATAATATGATAAAGTTTATTTAACCAAATTTGAATATTTCAAATATTTCTAAAACATTTAATATCATTGAAATGGAAATAAGAACTAAATAAAGATTAAGTATCGTAGTTTTAAGTCATCAAGGGAAAAAAATTAAAACAATAAAAATAGTTTCACGACTTATTAAAAATGCTTTTATTGTAATCCTTGACTAAAAACAAAACAAAACCTCTTGTTTCTCTTAAACTAAATATAATTACAGGTTTTCACAATTCGTGTGAAACATTAAAATTTAGTGTATAATTAATGGATAATTGAAACCAATTACTACCAGAAAATAGTTGGCTTTCATTCGAGTTATCCATAAAACATGATATTCATATTTATATGTATATAAAAAACTAATATTTATTTAAGAGCAATTCAATCTTAAAATGAAAAATGAGAAATTAATAAATAATATAATAAAGACATCTAAATATTTAATGTACTGTACTTAAAGTATGATTACTATAAATTATATTTTGATACCTTGATAAAACAGAATATTATGAAAAATATAAGTTATTTCATTTCTTAAATATACTCACATATAACATTATTGTGAAATGTTAATATTAAAAAATGGTTTATTAAATATATAAGATTATCTGACATTTTAACAATATTATAAGAGAACAGAAATTTTCTCTAGTATATTAAATTTTATTCATTTTAAAATTAAAATTAATTTCACATTTAAATTTTACATTATACAGTATATAAAGTATCTGACAAAAATTAATATAAATTAATAAATCGTGTATTTTAAAAATCATTATGATGGATTTTATGCTGAAAACTTTGAAAACCAAAATAATAAAAACAGTAATGTCGAGTTTCAGTATAGTATGAATTGTAATACTGTATTTGCTTATTTTGAACTTTTAAATAATGTTATGTATTTGAGATGTTAATTAAAATGCGGTAGAAATGCGTGATCTATAGGTCTTCTTAATGCAATTAAAAGGAAAAATGGTTTTTATCTGATCTAAAATAATGTATGGTATTAGCAAATAATGCCATAATCATTGTTTTATGCATTTTACAATCAATTATTCATTTATAAATACAATATTATTTATTTTAATTAAGATTTTATTCATTGCTTTAAAACCATTGAATTAAATAATATATAATATGAATAAAAACATAATATAATACTAATACATAATGTACATTACTGAATTTTAGTAATAATTCCCACTTATATCTCATAAATGAATTAATTTCATAAATGAATAACTTATCAATTGTATAATAATATTACAAAATAAATTTTTTAGCAAACTTTATATATTTATTGGGACTACAAACAAATATACTATTTAATGAAAGGTTACTTATTTAATATTTTTCATTTTTACAAAAAGATATACTGTAGAAAATATTTAATTTTTAATACTTTAAAATTCAATAAAATATTGTACTGTATTAATAATAATATAATAATTTATTATTCAGATTTTGTGATAGGCTATCAGTGATAGCATATATTATTATAGCAAAGATTATTATTTTACAATAAAATTGTAAATACTTACAAATTCATTAATGCTAAAGAATAAAATAACATAAGTTTTGTATTTTATATGCTTTTGAATAAATACACCATTCATTATTTTTCAGGTTTGCTAATAATTATTATTAAACCTTTTTGAGATGGATTTCCTTTAATTTATAAAAAATGTGTTTTTAACATATGATAATTATAATCTTAACATAAGTAAACATAAACTATATCATAAATAATACAATATGATAACAATTTTTAGCTTGAATTTAAATTATATATCTATACTGTAGAAAACATATGATTCTTAAACATAATCTCATAAGTCATTCAGTTTGTAATGATGTTGTCTTAGACCAACCGTCCAACAGACCAACAATAATGTGTTACTGTGACCAACCGTCCAGGTTTGACCTGGACTGTCCAGGAATTAGGGTATCTGTCCAGTGTCCAGGGCAAGGTCTCACCTGGACAATGTAATGTCCAGGAATAGTACGAAAAAAATGTTAGCATA